CATATGACCCCACCACACTGTTCAGTATCTGTAAAATCTTCCTTACTTTCCTGTTTTAACAGCACCACCTTGAAAAATTGTTATGATCTTCTTACCTTAATTAGATGGTACAGTTTTGAATTACTTATCACACTCTCTCACACTCACACTGTCTTACACACACTGTCTCACACCCACTCTCACACACGCGCTTACACACACACAGTCTCACACATGCACACACACGCGCACTCCCTCTGACACAAACACACACACCACACACACACACACACCACACACACACAGACCCTCTCTCACACACAGTCTCATACACACACATACACACGCACTCTCTCCCACAAACACATAAACACACACACATATACACTCTGTCTCTTCCATGCACACACACGCAAATAAATCTATGAGGTGAATCATTTCATCCAAGATGTTTGTTTATTTGCAGATAATTTCTATTTTGTTTAAAAAAACACAATTTGTAGTCACAATCAGTCAGTGTGGCATCTTATAAATTCCTGCTTTCGGAATAAAACCAGCCTGATTCCAGGTTAAAACTCTGAACGAGGCCTCACACGTCCAACCTCACATGTCAACTTTTGTATATTCCTATCGCTCTGCGTGATTGTCATGACAGCACAGCACTGATATTGACTTAATAAACACTTTATTCACCATCTAACAATCTTGGTCACCTGCAGAGACTTATTATCTGACACTCCACTCACAGCAGTTGTATGATCTTTTGATCTCTCTGCCCTTGATCTCTCTGTCTATAAGCTCCCTGTCTGTGTGCTCTGCCCTCTCACTGCACCTGACGAAGGGGCTGCACTCTGAAAGCTTATGTGATTTAAAATAAACTTGTTGGACTGTAACCTGGTGTCATGTGACTTCTGACTTTGTCCACCCCAGTCCAATACCTGCATCATCACTTGATTGTATTATGATCCCAGCTGATGTTCATACCAGACAAGTCAGACAGGAACCTGGCCTGATAGAAAAGATTTTGAAAGTTTTGGTTTTAAGGAAGTGGTCTCTTGCTGAAACATAAGCACACAATACTGCAGGGTTTTACTTTAACAATATAATGTAAGTTTATACGGAAGAAATGAAGATAAAATAGAATAATCCAAACCATCTATTTCTGTTACGAATTCAAAGATTTTAAACACAATAAAAATATAATCTCATTAATCCCAAAACAATGTGCCTGTATAAATTGAAAAGAAACCAGTATAGTACCCAAAACAAATCTCAAAACATCACTTGTATTATACTCGCATCAGAGTCTGTGTACCTAACACCTTGGTAGGTTTGAGTCACTTTCAACTTCAACTTTTATACTGAAACTGCGATAGCTTTTTTCCTGGACCTACCAGACACCTGAGCTTCATTGTACTCATTTTTAAGTAACCTCTTCAGGGTTTTTATCACAACACTTCTAGTCTGAGTCCTACACTAACTCTTCATTCTGATTCCCTATATCTATCAATGCCTTTGCAGGGGCACAGCACCTATCCTGTTCCAAGGACTTCGCAGAACTGCTCCACTCAAAACCAAAAATGAAACTAAAAATCTTGCTCTCTAAAAGATATGGGTATTTCCTTTAGAAAGCAAATTCCAAAACACTTAAACAAAGCTTTGACCATTAATGACCATTAATAACCACAAACAATGACCATTGTTTACCATGCTGGTTGACAAAATAAAATCCATTAGTAATGCACATCCATCCACTCTACAGTCATGCTTCAAAAAGCGTTTTTAAAAGAAATCACCATGGTTTTAGAAATAATTAGAAGTTAACTGCTAACTTTAAACACAAAAAAAAGCCATCAGTCACAAACTCAAAAACCAGAAACTGAAACTCACACAAATAGTATTACAAATTGTACATATAAACCTGACCATTTACATCGCATTTCACACTGCTTTTACCACCTTCAACACTCAGTCCTTCAACATCAACGCACAGTTGCAGCAGTGTGTGTCATCTACAAGGTGCACTGCAGCAACTTTCCAAGGCTCCTTCAGAAGCAGCTCTGAGCTCACAACCTAGAAGGACAAGGGCAACAGATGAATAAGAACACCACCACCTCCAAGTTACCTTTGAGGACACAAATTATTCTGACTTGGAATTTTATCTCTATTCCTTCACTTTCTTTTTTATTCACATGTGGGATGTGGGCATCGCTGGCTAGGCCAGCATTTATTCCCTATCCCTGGTTGCCCTTGAGAAGGTGTTGGTCAGTTGCATTCTTGAACCACTGGTGTACATGTGCCCCTGATAGACCCACAAAGCTATTAGGGAGGGAATTCCAGGATTTTACCCAACAATACTAAAGGAATAGCAATGCATTTCCAAGTCAGGATGGTGAGTGACTTGGATGGGAACTTGCTAGTGGTGGTGTACCCTGTATCTGCTGCCCTTGTCCTTCTAAATGGAAGTGGTTGAGGGTTTGAAAGTTGCTGTCTAAGAATCTTTGGTAAATATTTGCACTGCATCTTGAAGATAGTACACATTACTGCTATTGAGCTTCGGTGTTGTGGGGTGTGATGCCAATCAAATGGGCTGTTTTGTTCTAGATAGTGTTGAATTTCTTGGGTGTTGTTGGAGATGCACTCATCCAGGCAAGTTCAGAGTATTCGATCACACTTTTGACTTGTGCCTTGTACATGGTGAACAGACATTGGGAAGCGAAGAGGTGAGTTAAAAGCTACAGGATTTGTAGCCTCAGACATGTTCTCATATTCTCTGTTCTTTTGCTGATGTCTAATAACCACAATCATTTTCCTATGTGCCAAGTATGTCTCCAAGACGCGGAGAGTTTTCCTTCTGATTCATATTGATTGCAGTTTTTTTAGAGTTCCTTGTTGACTCAATTTGTCAAAAGCAACCTTGATATCACAGGCAGTTACTCTCATCTCATCTCTGGAATTCAGCTCTTTTATCCATGTTTGAACCAAGATATAATGAGGCCAGGAGCTGAGTTGCCCTGGTGGAACCCAAAATGTCCATCAGTGAGCAGGTTATTGCTGAGCAGATGTGCTTGATAGCATTGTTGGTGAAACCTTTCATCACTTTACTGACAACTGAGACTGATGGGACGGTAATTGACTAGGTTGGATTTGTTCTGCTTTTTATGTACAGGACATACTTAGGCAATTATCCACATTTTTGAGTAGATATAGAAGTACTGGAACAATTCGGCTAGGAGAGCAGCACATTCTGGAGCACAAGTATTCAGTACAATTTCCAGAATATCGTCAGTGTTCAGTGCCTCCAACCATTTCTTGATATCATGTGGAGTGAATCAAATTGGCTAAAGACTGGCACCTGTGATGCTGAGGACTTCTGGATGAGGCTGAGATGGATCATTCACTCACCACTTCTGACTAAAGAATGTCGCAAATGCTTCAGCCTTATCTTTTGCATTGATGTGCTTGGCCCTTCCATCATTGGTAGTGCAAACATTTGTGAAGACTCCTCCTCCAGTGATTTGTTTAATTACCCACCACCTTAACAACTGGATGCGGCAGGACTACAGAGCTCAGATCTGATGCATTGGTTGTGAGATGGCTTAGGTCTATCTATTGCTTGCTGCTTATACTGTTTGGCATGCAAGTAGTCCTGTTTTGTGGTTTCATTTGGTTGACATCTCATTTTCAGGAATGCCTGGTGCTACTGCTGGCATGCCCTCCAGCGTTCTTTACAGTTGCTGGATCTTTATTCTGGAACTTCCTCCCTAATACTGCAGATCGGTCTACACCACATGGACTGCTGCTTTCAATAAGGTAGCTCACAACCAACTTCTCAAGGTAGTGATGAGCAATAAATGTTGGCCAAGCCAGCAATGTCTACCTCCATTGGATGAATTTTAAAAAACGACTAAATCCCATGGACTGCAGCAGATCTGGCTGAAAGACACATTAATAGCTCGCTGGGTACTTGACATTGAAGCAGAAATCACCCAATGCTTACTGCTTACAGGTATTGATTCCACAAATGCTAACTGCTGGTCATGTGAAAGGTTAGGGTCGAGGGAATTGGAAAGATTGGCAGCAGGAAGGGCTTTCAGCAAAGTGGTGTCATAGTAGCTGAGGTTATTTTTGGGACCCAAAAGAGGTCTCTTTCACATGGACCCAAAAGGGTTTATACTCACAAAGTTTATACTCACCCTATGGGCTTCTCCTTCTATGGAGCTGAGCTTTATTCAGCAGGTCGTTAAAAATGGCTTTAATTTGCATTGTCCTATGGGACCAGATTCACAAGGCTGCAACCCAAGTGAGGCATCGAACATTCAAGAAATGTGTCTGAAATAGCATTTAGTATTATTTCAAGCTTAAATTTCAAAGGCCACACCCATGCAGTTTCCTCTACGCAGGGTTGAGGGTGAGGATTAAAATCCCTTTTTTTACTGTCTGGATTCACAGAAGTAATGGTCTCTTGCATATGATGTTGGTAGGCTGGCACCTCCCCATAGAAATTATACAGTGTGGAAACAGGCCATTTGGCCCAGCAAGTCCACACTGCCCCTCTGAAGAGCATTCCACCCAGACCCATTCCCCCACCCCTGCATTTCCCTTATCTAACCCACCTAACCTAAACATCCCTGGGCACTATAGGCAATTTAGCATGGCCAATCCACCTACCCTGCACATCTTTGGACTGTGGGAGGAAACTGGAGCATCTGGAGGAAACCCATACAGATAGGAGGACGATGTGCAAACTCCACACAGACAGTTGCCCAAGGCTGGAATTTAACCTGGGTCCCTGGCGCTGTGAGGCAGCAGTGCTAACCGCTGAGCCACTGTTCCACCCCCTCCTATATGACCATTTTCCAGCTAGAATAAGCACAAACCAAATTGGTTAAAAAGAAAACTAGATGGAAAAGAGTTGTTTAATTCAAGCACAAATTGTTTATTTCAGTAGTTTGATTTTTTATCAGGATTCTCATTGAGCTTAGAGTCAAAAGGCTGTTTGTCTTTTTCCATCATCACAGGTTTACACAGAACATGTCCATTTTCAAACGTGACGTGACTGAGACTTTGCGCATCTGTACATCTGCCAATACCCCTGTGGGAACCGTAGATATGGTGAGCTGATTCCAAAACTGATGGCGGAGTGATCAGAGGATCTGCAGTCCCTAGGACAGTGAGCATTATGCCAATGCCTTTTGTTACTGCTGCAAAATAAAATGTGTCTTTTCCACCTTGGTACTTGAGACAGTGGTGATCTTCCTGGGTTGGGATGAGGGATGCAAATTTGGTAGCAAAATCTAGTGAAGATTCAGAATGGGTTACTATCTAGCACCTCACTTATTACTGGCTTACACTGTTCTTGATGTCCTTGCAAACATTAAGCCCTAGCCAAAGCTAGTGTTGGGTATAATAACTTCCTTGTTTATAGAGGAGCCAATTCGCAACAACTCTCATAAGATTACACTTTTCCAACAATGTAGGACACTTCTCAGATGGGCAGAAGTTGAATTTCAAGGATGAATGTAAAATATGTTCGTCATCAGCCCTACTTTGGCAGCCCTTTGCCAAAGATGTGTTTCCAGTTACCTGGTTACATGTGAATAAACTCATCCGCCTTAATTATCAAGTCTCTTTTGTTCCTAACAGAGGTGTCCCTCTGGATAAAGCAGGACACATGAACCAATAATCAGTGGACTAGACAGTCACCAATTCTCCATGTGATGTTCACAGTTTTCCCCCTCCTTGAGGTTGCATTCTTGTGAACCATGTGTCCTTGTGAAAATGGCCGTAGTACAAACCTCAGCAGTAATGAATCATATTTTGCCCTTACCTGACATTGACACATATTCACAGTTACATACATGAATATATGTACACATATGTGCTTTGACACCCACCACACGTGTACGTTCATTTCCATTTACCCATGCATGGACATGTGTAGTCAACTAAGATTGCCCAAATAAATCTCTTCCATGAAAAGCAGGAAAAAATCTACACCAAGCCAATTAACACCTCATCAGTCTACTCTCAATCATCATCAAAGGGATGATGGGGTCAAAGATAATATTAGACAGTACCTATTTCGGCATCAAACTTTTCAGAGGCTTCCCAACACCCTGGGTTCAAACATAGACAAAAGAGCTGAACTGCAGTGGTAAATTGAGAGTGACTGCCTTCAACCCCAGGCAATATTTGAACAAATGTTGTATCAAGGAGCCCTGGCAAAACTGAAGTCAGTGGGAAACAGGGAGAAGACTTTGGTTGGAACCATACCTTGCAGAAAGGAAGATGGTTTTGGTTGTTGGACACCAGTCTTCTAAGCCACAAGACATTGCCATAACTTAGAGTAGAGGTGTTGTTTCAGCATTCCAAAGGTCTGTTCTAGCACACTTCATTTCACAGCATGACTTTAGTTATATATATGCTGTCATTTGCACACAGGTTGCACTTTGGATCAGCCATGTCATCAAAGATTTATTCTTGCCATCTCTGAGTTGAGATGTTGGTTCATTTAAATTGCCACAATCACTGCTGCAGATTGAAGGCATTATGACTGTTTCCAACATCCCATGCATGATCCACTGTGTATTGTTGTATACCAACAAAATATTGAGCAAGAGGAATCCCATGCATTGAGGGGACATCTCAAAGTCGATAAGTGGTCCCAAAAAGTGATTTGTGTGCATTATTGTGGCACTTTGCATTCTACATGCTACTGACTGGCAAGAGAGAAGGAAATGTACTTAGTTCTCCCAAATACAGAGTCAGTAACCTCCATTATACAACAGTGGATGGTAAGCTGTGATGTTGCAAATACCACCTGCTCCAGGTTGGGAGAAACCATTTGCAAAAAAATATTCATAGCTACGGTCATGCTCATAATCCCAGGCAATGCTGCCCTCATGATGTGCTCAGACTGCAGTTATGACTGCAACTGTTATAAATTTCAGGGAGGAAGTCCTTAGTTAACCAGAAATCTCTGAAACACTGTTCCTCTTTAAGCTTCAGTTAAGAAAATTACTCCCTGAAGATAGTCAGTGAATATGAAGGCTCTCCTTCCCCCTCCTCCTCCTTCCTCATTCAGCAGCTTGTCTTCATCTGTACCACACTGCTCATTCTCCCTGTCATACTGTAGGCCAACGGGGATACATAATATTGCACCTATTTCCAGGAGAAAATGGTTTGCACAGAATCCTTCCAGTAAAGATAAAACCTGTGGACTTCAATTATTTTTAACACCAGCAAGCTGGATACTTCTCCAATGGTGCATGAATCCTGGAAATGTACTTGCATCCTCACCAAAGTTCTGTGAGGCTAACACTAGCAGTGCATGTGCACAATCCACAGCTGCTACTTTGGAAGCAAATCTGTGATTTTAGCTCTGAAAAGCTGTGTGCTACATAGCTGGATTTTGTAGCCTGAATACCTTTGACCAAAATCATCACAGGAAGAAGTGCAAGAGATCTAAAGTCACTTATGCATGAATCCCAGTACGATCCTGAACTTTCAGTTTCCAATATGTTGGATTGGTCAATGATTTTGTATGGAACTAATGAAGTGATTGATCTTACTCTTCTTTTGGAGTCTTACAGTCTTCCATTTAGTGTTGGATGTTTTGAGGAAACTGGAACAGTTTGAAAAAATATTTTCTGGTTATGCCCAAAGCCAGTGCCCATTTTCTGTTTTATAGTGTAAAAAAAAATCATTAAAAGGTTAATGGAGCAAAATATAATAAAGGAAACTTCACTGCAAATATTTAATTTTGAGAATGATCTCATGTGAAATCAGAAAGCAATCGCCATTTCACTCTGCATGTCTGGAAGGTAATCTTATTAAAATATTTATTAATGGACATTGAACTTACAGCACTAATCAAGCAGGTGCAGTGCCTGTGGACATGTACTGGGTATAGTAAAAGAACATTTTGAAACTGTGCTCAAACAAAAGAGAAACCTTTATTAATAACCTTTGCATTTTTTAATTAAAATCATGATGTCTTGGAAAATATAGAGTTGTGTGTATTTTAACTGTTTTCTGACAAAAACTATGACAGTGTGATTTTGTGCCTGTTCTCTTTTTCCTAATGAACGAGACGTTCATTAATGCTGAAGGATGAGTTTGAGCATTTGTACAGGCAGAAGATACAACCAGAAGCATAATTGCTCAGGTCACTGAATTAGGTGTATGATCTTGCCTGAGATGAATAAATCCTGGAGTTTACTCACAATTACATTTAAAGCAAAGCAATAGTGGAAACAAGCTATCTCACTGTGGGGAATTAATAATAAAGAAAAACTACAAGATATGTTGTATATTTAATGCAGGTACTTAGGAACTAGAAATGTATGTTTCATAAAACCGTGCATACAATATGAGTGCTATTTCACTATATATAAAAAAATTGTAGCTTGCAGTGTAACCATTGCACTTTTTGTCACACTTTATAATTCACACTCTTAAAGATTGAGTACCTCTTTGCTTCTGTATCCAGCCAAACTCACCTCCCTTGGTAGTACAAAGTCTGCCATATTCTAATGCCACTCATGGTGCCTGATGTTCTGCGAAAGCTGTAAAGTGGAATTTCTGGTGCCAGCAACTCTGAAAGGGGCACTGGATTCCCATAACATTGCAGGATTGGATTTTAACAAAGCTAAAGGTGTAAAACATCCCCATTTACTCATTGGGCATGGGGATGTTTTTGTGCAAGAGGTCCAGGGGTGTAAAGTGGCTCTTTTGCAAGAAAGGTCAATTAACAGATAAGAGTAGAGACCATCAGAAGAATTTTATGTCAGCTTTGACCTGAGAACCTCGAGGGGCATTTTGTTTGTGGCTGTGCAATGTTGATAGGGTAATTACACAATCAAAGTCTTTGAGGAAGAAGGAAGTTAATTGCTGACTGAGTGAACTATTGCTGAGACAAGAGAAGAAAATGAGAAGGCTGAATAGCCTTGTTTGTGAGCTGTAAAGGTAAATGACATATACTGGATAAGAATTATGTTAGATGGGACATGTTATAATGTATTTTTTGTGGACCAGGATGACACACAATCCTCCTGTCAATGCATTAATTGCCAACTATAATATACATTCTGTGGGCAAATGCTGCAACTAGTTTGAAAACAGTCAAATTCCTAACAAGAAATGTGATAAAGAGTGAATCTTTTCTCATGACCCTCTGGCCTGTGGAAGGGAAAAGCTGCAGGTAACAAAAGAAGGTATTGGGATAGGAGGTGAAATATCCAAAGCTGTCATTCTTGATATCTAATGGAAAGAATTCCAACTAGGTCATGAAGGACTGAAGACGGTGCCCCAAAGCTCATGCTTTTTTTTGGTTCTTGTATTTATCTCCTTAATAATTTGATTATTCATTGTCTTGTGGGCCCATGTTTCAAATTTCAATATGCCACACTAAGCTCTTGCACTTCAATGTCTTATTGAAGCATTATAAAGTTCTCCAGGCTTCAAGGGAAAGAAGGTGATCAAGGTAACTGAACAGATTTATTCCAGCACTGTACACCACTCAGTGTCACCCATGCCTACCATGAGGAGATTCATCACAGAGGCAGCCATACGGGAGGAGGGTTAGATCTGCTGAAGAGCTACAGAGGAAGAATTTGTTGAGACCTCTTCCATGACTCAGGCTAGAACCTCCCGGGTCCTTTTTACTCCATACCTTGCAACTTGTGAAGTTTGGACACTCCAGTCATGGCTAACATAGCTCCAGAGATAGTAAGAACTGCCGATGCTGGAGTCTGAGATAACACAGTGTGGAGCTGGAGGAACACAGCAGGCCAGGCAGCATTAGAGGAGCAGGAAAGCTGATGAAAATTTTCTGAAGAAGGGTCCCAACTCAAAATGTCAGCTTTCCTGCTCCTCTGATGCTGCCTGGCCTGCTGTGTTCCTCCAACTCCACACTGTGTTAACATAGATCCAGGTCTTCATTGATGTATTATATCCACTCAAGAACTGTTTGCAGACAGTGCCCCTTGGTCATATGTCTCATCTTGCTTGGGAGAATGCAATGATAACAAGCCCCACTGTTCCTGGAGTCACCACAATTTGGGAAAAGCACAATTTGGGAAACTGACTCATTCAGGTTAAATGAAACACACCAGACTTCTGTCATTAACAAGAAAGTAGCTGTT